TTTTTTTTCTTTTTTAGTTAAATTATACTCGTATCGATATTGGTTCAATTCACAGTGTAGTTAATATTTGCCGACAATATTAATTTTAAGTCTATCCATTTTGATTAGTTTAAAATTATTTCATTGAGCACCTTTTATAAGCAAATCTAAATCAATGAGTGGAATTTCAATTGCTTTCATTATTAAACCAAACCCATTAAAATTATCCTTCATTCAAGTCAATTTTCAATTATAACTTTTTTTACCGGAACTTTTACCTTAGACAATAAAAATTTTCTCAAATTCACAAAGAGAGTACATTCATCTTTCCATAATAGATTACATTTAATTTCTTCACGTGATCTATTAAGAAACTTTTAACAATTAAAAAACATATCATTTAGTGTCTAATTGATAATCATTACAATCACTATTATAAGAACTTGAGGCGCTGCTTCTATCTCAATCCTAAGTTTTTGTTGCTCACAATAGCTGAAGAAGTTGAAATGAAACAGCTTTATTGAACATTGTTATTTTGAGTTGTTCATATTGCTAGGAGGTAATTCAGTTTTGAACTTAAGAAAAAAATATTAATATGTTGAAACTTATTAACAAAAAATCATCAAATTCAATAAAGTTGGTGGCTTGGCAAAATTTTACCCTATACTATAGGGAAGAGGGAAACCAACAATTCATCATTATATTCTCCACTTGCCTCAAAGAGTGACAAAATTCACACAACATAAATATAAATGCTTCTTCCATTCATGAAAGCTTTGACAAACCCTTCACATTCTATTAGTTCAAATGATAATTGATTTCCATTTTGAATTTCCCCCCACCCCACTTGTCTTCTCACCATTTACAACCAAAAATAACAATAATTAGACATAAATTAATATCTTATCAATCTCTCGATTTCAAATATTTGCAAATGTCAGTTCAAATGTCGAGCATCAAATTATCATAAAAGACGAGAATGAAAAATGAACTGATAGAACTTTGTGTTAGAAAGGCAGGAAAAGGACAAATATATGGAAAATTTTTACCTAGAGGGTTTAATTTAGCAAGTTGTATGATTTCTAAAGTGAGAGGAGAAGGATTAAGAAAACAAATGTAATAATAATTGGTGATTAAATATATGGTATAAGTTAAAGTGGTTTGTGGTGTGTTTGGATGTGAGGCACACAGGGGCTTAGCCAGGCAAAAGAGAAGGAAAGAAAAAGAAGTTCAATACAAGGCCAAGCTTTGAGGCTTAGATCAGCTGCAAAGTATGGAAATTTCATCTCTATATTGTCTCCTACTTCAAATTTTCATCTTTCATTCTTGGTATGTTTCAAAATGAGTTTGATATGTCTAGTTTTTGGATCAAAATCTCTCTCTTTTTTCTCTATCTCCTGAGTCAAAAGTTCATTGTCGAATACTTTGTTGTATTTATGTAGTATGAAATTGTTGATATCAGTTTCCGTAAGATTATTATTTGTATCTAACTGCCAAGAGTGTAATTTTTATGTAAAAGGACCAATCTATTGGTTGCTATTCTTGGTTTACTGTCTATTTTGTTGGGTATGATTGTCGGTTCACTCCAAAGAATATGTTCGAGTTCAACTTATGTCGTCTGTCTCGAAAAAACATTTATTTGTTAAAGTTTGAAGATAAAAGAAGACTCGTTTTATTTTTAATTTAGATACATAAAGATCATACTTTCATAAAAAAATGAACTCAAATACTCTGATAGAATTGCATCATCGAATCTAGATTTCTCAAAAAANAAACTTGAAATGTGACAAATAAAATGTTGAAAAAGGTGAGTGAAGAAAGAAACGCCTAGTTTCTTAGGCAGAACTATTAAATTTGAGATAAGTGCTTAAACCTAAATTTATATAATTAAAATTTAACACTCTTACCAAATCTTTTAAAAAAATTATTGTTTGTAAAGTATGTAAAGTAAATAGTAGTGAGACACGAACTGTAAACAAAAATAGTATATCATTAAAAATGAAAGATGAATTATTTAGTTGAACGCGCATATCAATTGCTTCCATGAAAATCACTTGTGAAAGTTTGTTCTAAATTACAGTGAAATAAACATGTATGGTAAGAAAAGCTTTTGAACTCTAAAACATATATCAGTTAATCGTCACAGTCATTTTTGTAACGAGAAAAGTGGTTAACTTGTGGAACACAAAAGGGCAAATGCAATGTTGTTGTCCAAATTCCAAAGGGTTTTACTTTGAGATGTGAGCTGTAGCCCTGACCACAAATTGAGATGGGAAAAGGACTGGACTTGGTCAGTGTTTGGGGCCAAAGTTAGGCAGCTCTCAATCATGAAAATGACTCATCCCATTCCTCATGCTCTTCTAACCATCTTCCCATTATCCTTTTCAGCAACAAAATAAAATTTAAAAAGCCACCACTTCTTTTTTCTTTTTTCCAACTCAAAACCCTTTTCAAATTGTGCACTTTGGAATCAAAATCATGGGTGAGTTTGTCTTTTCGAGATTTCGAGTCGAATCGATTCATTATTAAATTAACATGACCTGAACCTTTATGTGTGGTTATCTTGTTTAAATTTTTTGAGGACCTTAGATGATTGATCTTATCTTATTGAAAGTGATATTGAACAAATTGATACAAAAAGGAAAAGGAAAAGCATATTGAAAACCTATATAGGACAAAATATACTTTTGACCATGTCCTTGAAATTTGTAGTAAATATCTATTTGATCTCTAAAGTTCCAAAATAGACGCTTTTAGTTCTTAAAATTTATAAAATAGTTTCTTTTAAGTGGTCTCTAAGATGCTTTTCATCGCCTCGTGGCCACTCACCCCATGTCGAGAACAAAATTACCTCTTGTTGAAATGAAAAGTGATGTGATCTTGAAATTTTTCATTTTGCCTGTGTGGGATAACTTTCTCTATATGTTTGCCAAAATCACAGTTTTTGCAATTTCTTAAATATTATAACCAAATCAATGAAAATACATACATCGATCAAAAACCTTTTTTTAGTATAATGGAGTGGGGGATCGAACTCACAACCTCATGACTAAAAATACATGAGAATTACCGAACTATGTTCGCTTTTACTACATTAATCAAAGACCTTGGTTTGGCAACAATTGCCTACTTAAATAGTTTGGAGAATGATGGATTCTCCAAGTGGAATTTATATTAAAATCCCAAATCACTCACTTGTTCGTTGTTACAATTTCAAAAACTTGGCTAAATTTAGACTTTCTACAAAAGAAGAAGGCGAGAGATTGATTACATTGCAATTTCACATGAGTTTACAGGAATTACAAAACCAAAAGCATAACCCATTATTATATGGGGTGTGATTTAACTATCTTACCAAGAATCATAATTTCTCTCTTTTCTCAACCTCATTAAACTAGATGCCAGATTTCAGAAGGTAACACACAAATAGCTTCTCAAGCTTCAGCTTGAAGGAAGAAAAAAATCTCCTCCTTCACTTTGTAGCGGAGTCGAGCGCCATCTTCTGCGGTCTCGAGCAACCGACTGTAACCAAACATATCATCTCTGTTTTAGTAAAGATTGATGCATCAAAATGAAGAAAAAGTAGGGTGTTATTTGTGTATGAACTCACGGCTCATGGCAGGTAATTCAGAGCTCTTCAGCACGCGCAGCCTCTTCACAGTAGAAACGAACATTCTGCCATGGAAACCATGAAACAACATCGCAAAATGAGATCAAATTCAAAAAGTTCTACAGTTGTCTCTGCACGGCATGGATGTAATTTAGAGAGGCAAAAGACGCTTACTGCCAAGGGACATCGCCAACAAGAACTCGGTCTCCTTCGTTATCCTCGTAAACAAGAGTATATTCTCCGCTTCCATCCAGCAAACCCGTGATCGGTTTCTCTTCTTCTTGCTTGTTCAAAACACCACCCCCTGAGGAATCTCTTTGAGCTGCACACAGGAAAAAACAGGCAACATCAGTCATCCTCATCACAAATAAGAAAAAGTCGAAACATGTTTGAAAAGTCGAATATGGACTTCAATAACCATTCCACTTCAACTAGTTGTTCTGAAGAATCTCTGGTTGATTCTACCTGAAGATAATCTTGAATTCCAACAGAAAAAAAAAAACGAAAAAAAAGTCCTTACTTTAAGATGCTTTTAGTAAGTCTTTGGTGTTTGATCAAGAATTCAAGACGCACATTCATAACAGAAACATAATTAGCTCAAACTGATCGGGAACTATATCGACCATGGCCTGTTCTCTTAGAATTATCATAAACGAACAAGAATTATAACTTTAACAATTCATGAAGGAATTATAAAGGAGATTACCTGCAAGTAAGCCTCTGAAGAGTTCATCAACAGCAGAGGAGAGTTTGTCATAGCTGTCATAAGCATTGAGATCGATTTTCCTACCAATGGGAACTCCATCCATATTGATCTTAACAAACAGGCCCTTTCCACCAACTTCAACCGGTTTCTCCCTGGGGGCCGGGAGCTTGCTCGGGGCTGCATCCAAGGACTCCGATGCAGGCTTCGAGAAGCTGCTGCTTGCGAGATTACGCCTCGATGAACGAATTGGTGGCCATCCCACAACTGGAGCAGGCGCAGTCCTTTGTTTTATTTATTTTTTTTCAGAAAGATGAACAAATATTAGTGTGTTTCAATTTTCACTACCAAATTCTTTGAAAGCAGAGAATTCAAAATAAAGTTGATATTGACAATAATGAAAGAAATAGTAGGGAAACAGCAGCAAAATAAGACATTAATGGAAAAACAACAAAACAAAGTTAAAAAAAAAAAAGACAACAACAGCCACTGTTAATTAGGGATAAAAGTTATAAATTCTGAAAAACAAAAATTTTGCTCTATTCTACCAAACAGACAAAAGGTCAATTTGGTCGGTTGTCATGTTCATCAACTTGTCCATTTTCTCTAGATCAAATTAAACCAGGAACTAGACCCTTGGAAGCCGATTCCATTCAGTTATCTATATTCAGAAATTAAAGGAACCTTTGGATAAGACTGGTCCAAAAAATAAACAGCCAAGGAAAAGATAAAACCAGACCCATTTTTCATTACAAGAAAAAGAATGAATAAACATGGACCACAACACAAGCCTGTCATAAAACTCTTGTCCTATACAAAATTTCAATCTCCAAGGGAAAATAATATTTTGTACCGAAAAAAGGGGGGCCAGGCCTACCTTTTCTGAGAGCTGTTAGAAACAGCTGTATTTGCAGAGGATGGAAATGGTTTGGCCTCTGCATTTTGTAGATCTCCCATTTTAGTGCAACAGGGCTGTGACCCTGCTGTTTCCTTGGCCATGGCCGACAAGTGAAAGGTTGAAAGTTTGGTGGGTTGAAGCTTTCCGAGAAAATTCGCAGATGGCCATGGATTCTCTGTGGAAGAAAATTTCTGGGGATGGGGAAAATACCCAAAACAGAGAGGAGATTCATCTCTTTCTTTGCCGCACCAATCGGCTTCTCCGGGCAGGCCAAGCCTGAGCTCCAGCTTCTTGTCGTCGGAGCTGTGGATTTTTCCGACGACATCTCCGGTGGTGACCCATTGCCGGTCTTTGGGGATCAAATCCAGCAGCCGAGGGCAATCCTCGTCTTTCTCTGAACACCCATTGATCTCCATTGACACCAGACGGGACAAATTAGGAAATATGATTAGGTTTCCTTTGTGAGGCAAAAAAAGTGTGTCGGACACAACCGAAAGAAAGAAGAAAATGAGAAATTAGAACAGACCCACTTGAAAACAACTCGTAATCGAGTCCCCAAACCTCGAAAAAACTTCAGGAAGAGATGAAATCGGAAGTTGTGAATAATCTGGGAAAGCTTAAACCACAGAAGGGGAAGGGAGGAAACAGGGTATATAATGAGAGAGGAAGAAGAAGAGGAAAGTGGCAGAAAAGGGAGAACAAAAGGTAAAAACTGTGTTGTGTTTGTTTGGAAATTGAAAGGGGAGATGATGATAAGAAGTAGGAAGAAGAGAGATTCCCTATGGGGGCCAAGAACCCAAAAGAGGGAACGGTATTTAGAGCATTATTCACGCAACCAAAGAGAAGAGGAGAGGAAAATATTGGTAGGTTGCTCAGCTGAGGAAGCAAAGCGTGCTACTGCTGACCTCCTAAAAAGATACTCTTCTCTCTCTCTGAAACGCACTAACCAACAACAGATTAGCCTAACTTGCACACCAACCCAAACATCCAACATGCCCCATTTTGTGGGGAACAAACAAAATTTTTTCTCCTAAATTCCAAATCATCCATTCAATTGTGTGCTAATTCATTTTTACTTTCATCTAGGGCATTAGATTTTGGTTACTTGTTTTAAAAGATGAACAATGTGACTTGTAAAATGTGTTCATTGTGAAATCGAACGAGCTTGAATCCACGAAGGTTGGATGTGGTGTATCAAAGTTTGAACAAAACAAAGTTAGCACTCCGATATTTTAGTCAGTACACAGTCTGATCCATTACTCCAAAGATAATAGTCACGTGTGCTTTGCTTGGGAGGGTATGGCTCTTCGACATCTCAAAAAATGCGGCGCATTGTCTGGAAAACATCTCTGTTGCCTCTGCGCCTGCAGGCTGCAAGTGCGTTTCAAGTTCGACTTGTACTTGATGAAGGTTAGTCGAAAGGTATATATAGTTGGGCTCATCTTCCACTTGTCGAGTTGTCGAGACTTGTATCAATTTGGAAGATGAGGTTCAGTCTTCTTATTGTTCCACAAAATATTACATGTAATGTTGAAATGCAAGTGTCCTTCTAATATGTATGTTAACATGCTTAGTGGAGTGCATGTATTGAAACTATGTGATTGTTTGATTGGTTGATGTGAGTATTAGATGAGTACATTTTAGGTAATAAAAACTAGAAAGAATTGAAAATTTTTTTTTAATTCTATTACTAAAATATATACTTTGAAACATTAAATAAGGTCGAAAGTGGAGATATCAAGATGAATTTAAACCTTAAAATTAAAATATTTTGATAAACTATCTTAAATAGTAATAATACAATAATTCATAAAAGTTTGTTTAACTAGGTATATTAAACTCATTATTTATGCCAACTTCAACATAATTAAATTATTCATAATTAAAATGTCAGATCGAATCCTCACCCTAAAATTTTATTAACAAAATATAACTTTTCATAAATTCATGATTCAAAAGAAATAGTAACCTGTTATTTTTTTAAAATATATCCTTTGTGTGGTAAAGTAAGAATAAACAATTATTAATCTTACTTTTTTTCAAGTTGTCAATCTTACCTTAGTAAAAGTTCATGAATTTTAGCCTCCCTTCCATATTAAGACAAACACTTATTTAATTGCATTTATTAAATTATTATTTTAAACAATATATAATTGTTTTTTAAAACAAATTTCAAACGGATATTAAATAGCTTGAATAAAACATTCTTTCCTAAGACGTACCATTTCAAATAGTACTTTTAAAGGAAAATGCACTGCCTTAAATGAACATAAATAAATTCACATGAATTAATGTTTGGGAAAGTTAGAGGGATGAGTTATAGTGGGATAAATATAATTATAATTATGTCAATGGTTAACTAATCGTGAAAGTTTTTTCTCTCTCGTCAAAGATAACTAGTTGAATTAACTAGTTGCGGTAATTGGTATATATCTCCAATCAAAAAGTTGTGAGTTGGAATTGTTGGAATTGGTGGAGTCAAAACGACGTCGGATCGAGCTAGGGAAGAGTCGGGATCGAGCCGGGACGCGTTGAGGTCGAAGCGGGGATAAAAACAAGGGAGCGAGCACTGCAGGTCACACGGGCTGAGGAGGCAGCGCCGAGGCGCTGTCCAGATGGGGGCGTGCACGGATTTTTCCGTTCGTAGCGCCATGCCGCTGTTTCGATGTTTATAAATACGCAGCCTTGGGTTTTAGGGTCTTACCAGCCAAACAAGGGGTTATTTGCAGCTGATTTTGAGCGGGTTTTGACAGCAAATCAGTGGCAGCGGCTTGGGCATTGCTAGAAGCTTTGGGGTTGATCAAGATCGATATTATCGGGTAATTGTATCTTGATTTTCCTATTCCTAAGTCTTAATTGTGTAAAATACTTAGTAGTTAGGGGGCTTTTATTGAGACCTCTTGGTGATATTTTGGAGAATGTTATTGTATCAATTTGTTGTGTCGTTTACTTGTGTATATTGTTTTTCTTCCTATTTGCATATTATGTTTGTGTGTGAATATTTTTTGTGAAAGGAGAAATTATTTAGGTAAATCAATTTCCCAACATGAATCCCCTCTCCACTAACAAAACAATGAAGTAGAACCATTAAATATAATATGACTTGTTGATGGTATAACATTTATGTGTTTGCAATTTTCATACCCTATCCTTTTACTTTGAAAATTTTGTAATTTTTTTGAAGTACTGAAAGTTTTGTACTTATTAATTATAAATCAATACTCATTCTTAGGTTCAACGTGCAATATTGAAAAACATATATACCACTTCTATTTATTGTTCCAATTTGTGTCAAAGTGTTGGATCTAACTATTCATTCTCATTGGACTCGAAAAAAGAGGAAAAAAAAAAACAAGAGATAACCATTCATTCTAATAAATTAGATAAAAAAAAACCAATTAATACAATACAACGATGGCCTTCTCAAATCAAGTTTAAATTTAACGAATTTGGGATAATAATTTAATTTATTCTTATCTATGCCTATTGTGTTATGTTTTATATTCTCTTCGTATGATTAATTTTTTAAAGGTAATCGTACTCAACAATTATATGATATTTGTCTGTTTTAAGCATAACGTCCTCGTAATTTTATTTTTGGTTTCATTCAAGATACTTCAAAACAATAAAGTTAATTGTTCTCGTTTATATACAATTTGAATTGATAACTCTCATTTCTAACTAACGTGAGACTTTAATTATATTAAATTAATAACTCCAATATAGATAGCATGCTATTTCGATCTATAACGTATTAAAATAGTTTTTGTACTTTGAAAATTTAAGAAGTTGAAAACATCAAAACAAAACAAAACCCTTCAAATTTGAAGTATTATAAGTTAGTAAAATAAAAAGGTTGAGAACCGAGATTTATCTTTTTGGAGAATATTCTTATTTTGTGTTAAAATACAAAATGTCTTGTTGATTAATCAGAGATCGGACGGTTGGATTAAATTTTAAAACTGACATTTTGACAGCCTTAAAATCCAATGATCCTGTCTGCCCTGTCTCCTTCTGCCGTGGGATTTTGAGGCCATGATACAGTACTATACTCACACCGTATCAGCATGCTGCTAACTCAATCGTAGCCGTTGGATCGATCGCGATCTTCGAGATCTGCGATGGGGAAAAATAGATTTTCGAGGCGCAGAGCTCGAGGTAGGAATTCTGATGCGTGACAGCTAAAAAGTAGATTTTCYTTTTGTTCGTGGAATCAGAAACCTACGGCCGTAGTAATTGCAACTCGCCATCAATTACTCGGCTGACCTGACACCCGTTTTACCGGCAACTTTACGCCGTTTACCTGCCCTGCCTATCCTGTGTCTTCCCCAAACAGCGCCACCGTTTTTCCGTTTTGTTCGCCTTATGACGCTTTTGCCCCTCCCCCAAACTAACTGATTTTTCCTTTGACGTTTACCTTTTTATTTGAAATTCTGATGGATGATTTTTCCTTTTTTTTTTTAAACATCAATGTTTACCTAGTCAAATTTCTAATTTCATATTTATGATTTGTAATTTAGTCCTTTGTCAGTTAGATTTTGTTTAATTTAAGTTTTAAATTAAATTAAAATTTTAGTTTGTTGACCTTCAAAACTATACTGATTAATAGATTCTTGAACTTTTAAAATTGTGTTTATTTAGTTCTTATATTTTAAAATGTTTTAATTGTTATATAAATTTTTAATTTTGTGTCTAATACTATGTGTCAAACACATCATTTAATGAATTAATCATGAATAGATCCAAACATTTGATGATATAAACGAGGGTGAACTATATTTTCACTTGTTGGAAATTTTTTTTCTAAGTTGGAGTTGAGTGTGCTTCTAAACGTTGTGAGCCTTCTTCCCCATCCTCAACAAGTCCAAAGTTCAGACACATGTCTCATGAGAGAAGGTTGTCTATTTGTACTTGTTTTTGCCCTAAACAATAGTATCTAAGAAGAAAGTTGTTATGGATGGGAAAATCTAACTCCCTTTATTYAAGGGATTGAAAAGTGAAGGTATCTTGATGGCCTTCGGATTGAGGAGAAGAACACTACAACTTTCGATTCTTCGAAGCCTGTGTGGCAAGAGCCATACCAGTCTTTAATGCTATTAGGTTTTGCAGGTCTCGTCGATCCCTTTTATTCTTAAATATTGATGCGAATTTGGTGGAATTCCAAAAGGCCACATTTCTGTATCAACAAAATCAATAAATAAATAAAAGGAAAGATTGATCCCTAGTATTATTTTTCCTTTGGCGATGGAAACTGTATATAAAATGCATCAATGCTGCCAAACTAATAGACGTGGATTTGAAATTTGATAGAGATATTATAGATGTTTGCTTTTAGGTTTGTCAAATTTTAGTGCCACAAAATTCCATCCTTCCCTTATCACACTTAAAAGTCGTTAAATTAAAATAAATTTGGTTCTTCAAATATTTAAAAAGTTTGATTAGAACTCTACACAGTTAAGATGTTAAGATGAATAAACCACTACTCAACCCAAAAGTTTAAGATGATAGGTTTGATAATTTTAATTTATTTATGGATATTTAATATTAAGAATTCCAGGTTGAAAAGAAAAGAGATCTAACAAGTATTTATAATGTAAGTGAACTACTCTTCTCCTTATCAATTGATTTTGAAATGGAATATCATGAATATTAATACATACGTAATAATTTAAATGGTTAACTATGTTCTAATATTCAGTAGATAGATATTGAAGTTTTGAGTTGGGGGTTAGAATTGAACATCGAAAAAAAAATTATTGAAAAAAGAACACTAAATTTTGGATAAAATAAAATAAAGTCATAAAAGCACACCTGCCTACCACGTCAACAAAAAATTGTCAATAGATATTTAGTAATTTGTTTTTATCGTTTGTTAACTCTCGCTAATGAT